CCGCAGGCTGCCAGTTGCAGATGAGGAAAATGCTGAGAGTTCAGCCAATTGATTTCTTCCTTAGGTGCAGGCATTTCTCCGGGTCGAACAGGGCAGCTTCTGACAAAGCAGAAGGGCTGGGGCAGTTGAAAGGAAACGCCGCCTCTGACTGCCTGGCTTTTCAGCCTGGCCACCCAGTTGAAAGGAGCAGCAGTCAGAAGCGGGAGAAATAAAAACGGAAGCCTTTCCAAGAGGGAGAATGGCTGTTGCTCCAAAATGGAGCTATGCTGGGCAACGGTGTCTGGTTCTTCAGATCAGCCTCAGAAGGAGCTTACGGCGGCCTGGAGAATTACATGTCTGGGTTTCTTTAAAAGGCAACATGAAAAGAGCAACTTGTTTGATTGACCAGGGATTTCTGCTGTGTTTTTTCACCAAATAGCATGGTCCCATACAGGCCATGTCGACCTTTGTCAGAACTGAGGGTTTTACTGAACGTGAGCTGAAATTATCAAATTAATTGGGAAATTCTCTCCCCCCCCGAAGGCCTGTTGCTAACTGTCAGCCCACATGGAATAAAACTCGGAAAATAGAGGGGTTTTGTGGAAACTCTAACACAGCCTTTCCAAGGGAATGAGATCTGTCTTGCTCCCTGTGGAGCCTTGTTCCCTTCCAGTGCAGTTGAAGAACATCATCCAGTGGGTCCCATCTTGCAAGGTGCCGAGCACCCTAGTGTTAAGCATGTTGTGGGATCATGCCCTGGGATGGAGAGCCTCTTCAGCCAGAAGGACAGGACTGGTAGCTTCTGTTTAAGTGTCCATCCATCAGCCAGTGCAAAATAGGATCAACCCCGACTTTGCCTCCTCTGGAAATCCATCACTGCCGCAGCTTGCTGGAGAGATGGCAAGTGTGTGGAGGGATTGAAAAATAACTATTGTAAAAGAGAAGGTTTCACTGTAATGCAGCAATCTGAGGGAATACTGTTGAGGAAAAGCTGTGCCTGGGTGTACTTTGACCTATGCATAAGTGGATTCCCTGTGTCAGAAACTGGCTTACGGTTTTTTGTGCCAATCGTATCTGTACATATTGCTAAGGCTGCAGTGGGGGTGTAGCTACCTATGCGACACTTAAACACTAAATCCTTAATGGGCAAACCTTGCCTTCTGTTTCACCAGAAACCCCCCTGGACACTGTAAGGAATTTACGCCCAGTGTTTTCTTTCATGCTTTGCATCTGTCATTTGTATCTGGCTGCTGACATCTCCTGGGGTGGTGCGAAGGTAACTTTGTTCTGATTATTTTTTTGGTCTGTATCTAATAAAAAAGAGCCGTGCCTGGGGGCTCAGGCTTGGAAGATCTTGCTATTACTGGGCTATCTAATTTGAGTTTGATGGCAGCAGAGCTCATCAATATCAAAGTCGCAATGTGCCTGTGTAACTAAACGCTGGCCATAGACACCAAGACATTTGTAGCATCTCATAAAATACTGGACGTCAGTGCAGGAGAACTCTTTGGTGCTACTGAGCCAGTCAAGGCATGTCCTGTTGCTCCCACTTGGCAGAGAGCCACCTTCTGTAGTGAAGTAGAATGAACATCACCCAGCAAGGGGCTGCTGTTAATCTCTGCATCAACTGAGGTGGTGTGGAAGTGGGGAAAGGGCTTTACGGCAATAAGTTACTGATCTACGGCTCCTTGGCTATTCCACAGCTGTACCATGCCCGAGTCCCTGGCTTTGCACCCGTTGACTATTTTTAATCTCTCTCCGCTCTGCACTTGCTCGGGTTGCTTGAGTAGAGGTGAGTGTACATGAACAGATGTCTTTATCCTCTCCTCGAAGGCCCTGAAGAACATAAACAGATCCAGCACTCCACAGCCAGCCAGAAGTCTCCATTCATCGAACTACTATGTTGGCGTCCGCTGTCAGTCGCGTCAGTGTTAAAAATTAAGTACAGTTACACAACATACTGAACTGGAGAGGGGCGCTTCCCGGGTTCTGATTTACTGTGAAATATCAGCCTCTGCACTGCAAAAAAAAGAACAGAAATATAGCTCAGCCGTTAATTTCCCAGGGAAAACACTAAAGCATCACTGAAAACATCCTTAATAAGACAGTGGTCTTATAACCTTGTTGTACGAGAAAGGCAATCTAGTCACTGAGTCAGATTCTGTCAGATCTGCATTTTGAAACCACATGGGAAATGTTCCTTCATTTGGAATGCCTCAGCACGTTGGAAAGATATTTTTAACTGGGAAACCCAGAGTGGAGGCCCAAGATTAGAGCAAACATACTATTACCTGAAGGCTCTTGGATTCTAAATCTCTCTCCTTTTAAATTAGATACTATTCATTCACAAACAACTGCCCACACTCACCCAAAAGCCCCTTTGAAATTGAAGGCTTACCCAAGGTATTAACTTAACCCTTGCTGGAGCCTGATATTCTCATTTTATTTGCATAGCATACAGCGGCTGTGCAAGCACCACCAGACTGACCTACTGCTACAGCTCTGTGCAGACCTGCAGGGACTGCTCTAGGAAGGGAACATGGATTCTTCTCCATGCTCATTTAATCTATGGCCTCTCTGCTGAGACCTGCCACTAAAGAGCAAATTGATGTCAAATAGGAGTGGACTGTTTTGTATGTGATGGTGTCAATTTTGGAACTGTACTGAGACCATCAACTCTTAGCCCCACCCCATCCCCAATCAGTAGCTGGTAAGATTGTATATCTCCAGCAACCGAGGCAGGATTTGAACGGCTGAATCTCCCATTAATTGTTTTCTGATCCACCCAATCCCTGTTAATTTTTATAACAAACCTATTTTGGTAGGTCCTACCCAAACCCCCTGCATTGCACTCTTTCTGCTTGTCGGGCAGCACTGTTGTTTCATGCTGTTGCTAGAACTGTGCACCGTCCTGACCTCAGTGAGGATACCTCTACCCGAACAAAGAGGAAGAAGAGACAGCCAGGCTGGCAGCTGCTGTGTTAGAAACAAGGAGAAAGCATTGGTTGAACTGGTAACTATACTACGACAGTTGTAGGGAAATTTTTCTTATAAAATTAGACAAATGTTAAACAACCCCGGGAGCACTGTCAATACGACTCTTGCCAGAGTTTACACCCTAATCTCATAGCCTGCCTAAATCATGACTAGCCCTGAATGCTGGAAGGCAAAGGCCCAGGCTCAAGCTGGTTTTATGGGAAAGCAACAAAATTAAAAACCGCTGTTTTGCCGCTGAGTTTCCCATCACCGTAGCCTCTGATCGGCATGAGCTGCCATTGACATCTGATCACCGAGGCTGACAGGGGTCAGCCCTAACGGCTCGAGCACACTGCAGCTGCTACACCAGCCCAAGACACGCTACAGCCTGGTTTAACACGCTTCTGGGACCAAACAATTCTGCGCCGGCTCTGTTGCAGGAAACCGTGCCGGAGCTCTGCTAGCAAACACGAAAAGACTTTGGTTTTAAACAGAGCTGCACAAAATTCTAGCTCAAATCTAACATGGTGCTTTGAAAATGTAGATAGGAAGGAGCAGCAAGGGATGGAATAGTATTATTTGTATTGTCCATGAACTGACCCTGACCGTTCCACCAGCTGCGATACTTCTGCAGAGTTTAACTTAAAAGGGCCCAACTTGGGCCATCAGGTGTGGAGGATTTCACACAGTGGCAAGTAGATCATGCTTGGGCCAATGGCCTTAACAGGGAAGAGGTACTTCTAGGCCCCTGCAATTGATCAAGCCTGAGCTGACCAAGTTACTGTGCAGGGTTCCAAGCAACCGTGCGGGGAAGTGCAAGGCTTGCTTTCAGATGCAGTGGGTGGTATGACATAGCTTTGATGCTGGTGGCCAGCTGGCTGAGGGCCTCAGCTGAGAACCAGAAGGAAGAGTTAGGGTGAGGTGACTCAACTACCTCCTCAGACCTAAAGGCTCTCTAGGAAGGGCTGAGGCCCATTGAGGCAGGTCAGGGCACCTGTGGCCATCAACCAAATCCTCCTGTGTTACTTTCCAGGAGACTTAAGTTTACTGGACCTTTAGCGCACACACACCCTTATTCCAATAACCAGGCTCATAACTGATCTAGGGGGCTTGGTATTGAAGGCTGGTGGCTAGCAGCAGGCTGTGAAATTTCACAGGACGTTAGCACTCCGAGGTGCACACCCGGACAGCAGAGTCCCCTCACAGGCAATAGCTTTGATAAAGCCGTGGGGTGAACTCCTGGCCCCTCTAAAGCCACTAGCAAAACTCCCCCTGATTTCACCCTTGGAGGGACTTGCCTAGTTTAGAGCAGGGGAAAGAACCAGCCGCTGGCTGGGAAGCCAGTGCTCGCTGCCAGGCGAGGAATAGCTGGGGTGGAGGGCATGTCCCTGCTGCCTTCTACCCTCTGCAGAGAGAGGGGGGTCCCCATCCTTGGCGATGGCACAGCTTGGCTCGCGTACCAGACTCTCCCCTTCCCGCTGGGCGGTACACGGGGAAGGCTGCTCCCCACCCGGCCACCCCGTGCGCGCAGAGCCCCGCTGCGCTCTGAGCGCAGCAGCGAGCCAGGGAGGCAGCGCCAGAGCAGGGCTGGGGTCCCGGCTTAGCCCCCTGCCCCTCCGGGAGGAACGGCCCCGTCCCCGGAGCAGCCGGGCGAGGTGTGCCCGAGCCGCCCCCAGCCAAGGTCCCGTGCGCTCGGGCTGGAGGGAGCGGCCCTGCCGGGCTAGCAGGGCAGCCGGCGGCTCCGCAGTGCTGGGCGTGCAGGCCAGGCTGCCCGGAGCGCAGGAGGAGCGGCTCGGCCCGGGGCTGGCGCTGCCCGCTGCGGAGGCGAGGGGCCAGGCTGAGCCGGGGAAGCAGCAGCAGCCGGGGAGCGACTCTCAGGGGCGATCCCGGCTTTCTCCTGGCTCCCGGCTGGGGGGAGCATGGGGAGCCCAGCCCGGCGCTAGCAGCGAGACCGGGTGGCTGGCAGCGGGGACCAAGTCACCTGCCTCCCCTCCCCGCAGAGCTTGGCCCTGGCGAGCCCCGCGCCGGAGCGCCCGGCCTCGGGCATGGCCCTGGCGCGCCCCGCGCCGGAGCGCACCCGGATCTCCGAGGTGGAAATGGAGCGTTATTACTGCCTGCTGCAAGCCGCCGCCCGCCTCCACTCCAGCGTCGCCGGTAAGTGACCCGCTCCCCTTCCCCGGCTCTCCCGCACCCGCCGGGGGATCCCTGCTCCTCCTCAGCCCCCCGAGGAGCCGACTGCTCTTCCCTGCTCCCCAGCCCCGGGCGGGGTAGGCTGGGGTCCCGCCTGGCAAAACAAAGTTCCATGGGGTGTCCGGGGTCATGGGGCTGCTGGTGCTGGGAGGCGAGTCCCTCGCTGCCCGGTTTGTTTGCTCCTACACCCAGCGATTGAAGCAGTCCAAGCCAAAACCTGGCAGGAGCTTTAATACCAGCCATGGGGACTGTTTTTGTGACTGTTTGGGGTGCTGACACTGGGGGAGCCTGACCTTCCCTGACGGGCAGGGGGCTTGGAGAGGGGAGGTGTGAAAACATCTGGGGGGGGGGTATATTGTTAAACTCCAATAAAAAGAGAATATATATTTTAAAAATATATATTTTGTAAAGAGAACCAGAAATAACCATCTTCATATTGGAAACCCAACCCCACCCGCAGCCCACAGTCTCTTTGACCCAGCCTGTTTTTTCTCCCTCACCTAGTTCTTCTTTCCAGCAGCAATTTTCCTGCCTAATTTAGAGCATGCCTTCAAACATGCGTCATAAAGATTGATTTTAACTGATTTTTTTTACCAAGCAGAAGGGACAAACTTCTGCATCTTCACCTTGCTGACAAATAAATGTATTGCAGTCTTATGCCTTCCAAATACCATGCTCCTTGCACCCAGTGGATCTGTGGAGGTGCCACTTCAGATACAGGTGTGCGATGTAATTGCTGACAGAATGTTTGCAACTGTACAAGTTGCCGGGGGGGAAATAGCTGGGCCCTTGTACTCTAAAGCCAGGCTCCTGAATACACCTATGTACGTGCTTAACTTTATTCACATGCATAATGTCAAACACGTGTAGCTCTTTATAGAACTGGGGCCTAAATACTGGGCAGACAGATCACTAAAGTAAATTCTTGTTAGAAGTCTCCAGTAGGTTTCATTGTAAGTGCTGTATGGTTGTTGTTTAAGGCACTGAATAACACTTGCTTTGATGGATTGCACTATGCATGTAGAAGGGTGTCTTATTTTTAAAGTAATCGTTGCTTCCCGTTGTGCCCCTGACATGCCCTCTCTTGTTGCGGGAACACTGTCGAAAAGGAATACAAAGTATTCCGGTTCCTTTTAATAAGCGAAAGTGTGTGATCGGATGCTAGCCCCTTTGTTGGGTTTCCATTGGCCAGTATTGCTGCAGTACTGCCTCTTGTTAGTACTTGCAGTACTCAGCCTTATGCTTCTGGTGGGATTTGGGGGTATAAGTCAGGCTGCAGTTTATTTGCTAGTAGAACCCGTGATGGTCAGAAAGTTATGCCTTGTATTGGAACCTCTGTGACTGGCGGTGATGTGCCACGCCAGATCTCACATTGATTATGCAGGCTCCGAGTCATTTGCATGTTTGGCGTAGTCATGCAATAGGAGCCATCAGCATTTTACAAATTGCTGGACCGAACCCTCAGAATTGTTCCAGGTCAGCCAGTTATTGATGGGTAGGTTGAACGGCAGCTGGGCATGATCAACTCTTGATTGATCTATTTACAGTATTTTTAAAAAAGCAGCAGATGTTTATAAAATTGTGTACGATTGCTTGTTGCCCTTCCTGAGTCACTTAGGCCTGGTCTCCATTCACGAATGTACTGGTCTGACTACATCGATGATGTTACATCAGTGCAAACCCGTAATGTGGGCGTGCTACACTGATGAAAAGATGGTGTGACTTGACCCAGTAACTTTAGGCCATGGGTTTCCTTTGTGCCTTTACAGAACTCCCTTTGACAGCTCTAGTTACTTCATAGTCCTGCACTGAGTGCAGGGGACTGGACTAGATGATTTACTGAAGTCCCTTCCAGTCCTACACTTTTGTGATTGTATAATCTGCTAATAAACCTTCCATGGGTTTGCTTAAGGGGGAGATTTTATTTCTTTTCAGCATAATCCTTTAATGGCTACCCAGGGGAAAGGGTCAGGGCCTATGGGCACTGCTTTCCCCGTGAGTGACACACAGAACACCTAGTCCCAGAACTGAAGGCACATGTTATTCATTATCTCTTAAGGGCCATCTCTGTGCTTGGAGCCATGCCTGGCACAGAAGAAGACACTCTAACACAAGGATCTAACAGTCTAATTCTGATGGTCTCGACTCCTTTGCATAGCGTAGCTGAGTTTATGATGCTGGATTTTTGTATTGGGGAACATAGATACAGATGATTAGGTTCTGTATTAAAAGTTTGGTTGGTGCTGCAAAGGAACACTTACATGAGCAAGGAAAGGATGCTGTTTGTGGGAATGTGCAATGAAAACAAAACAGTTCTATAGGGTCTGATCCCGTTCCTGTTGAGTCAATGACAAAACTCCTATTTTCTTGAAGTCAGAGCAGGACTGGGCTTTAGACAGGCAGCGTGAGTATAAGTGCATGAATGCAGCGGTGATGCATAAATTCTCCTGCTATATACATGAAGTCTGGGGAAACTGGACAGATCGCTCTCCGGTAACACGGGTCCCAATCCTGCATTCCGCTCTGTGCCGCTGGACCTTTACACCTGCTTTTGGAAAGTCAGTGGGACGCTACACAGGAACAAGGATGAATTTGTGTGGGTCCAGTTGCAGGACTGGGGGACCATGATTTGGGCGGTATTGCCTGCTCTCAGTGTTAAAACAATCGTGTCAGCCTCCACTCCAGATCATGAGATTTCTAAAAAGATAATAAATGTGGGATTCTTCCCCACCCCATAATTTCTGAGTTTTTTAGCCTGGCCTTGGGATACATTTTAAGCCCTTTTCCCCAACCACAAGGGCTAGAAACTTTTTTAAAAAAAATTAAAACTGAGATTCTCACATAATTGCTTGACTGCAAGTGCTGAGGTTTCAAGGAAAACATCCAATATCATGAGACTTGTGATAAAATCATGAGGGTTGGCAACATTGTGTGTATATACACACACATACAAATGTCCTTTCGGTCTTTTTAGGGCGTAACGCAGTGGTTCTCAAACTTTTGTACTGGTGACCCCTTTCACATAGCAAGCCTCTGAGTGCAACCCCCCCCTATAAATTAAAACCACATTTTTATATATTTAACACTATTATAAATGCTGGAGGAAACACAGGGTTTGGGGTGGAGGCTGACAGCTGGCGACCCCCCATGTAATAACCTCATGACCCCCTGAGGGGTCCCGACCCCCAGTTTGAGAACCCCTGGCATAACGTGTTTATGGCCATGTTTACAGGAGATACTATTTGAGAACTGTTAGAATACAAGCTTACCATGTAATGACCTCCAGAAAATGAATAATATTATCACTCGAAGCCATTCAAGGAGCTGCAGCCCCAACGAGGACCACAGGAGAAATAGTTGTGCAGGAATCTTAAACAGTACGTAGGATGCATTCCGTTCGCATACAGCACAGTTTCTATACCTGCAATTTCATGATTTATCAGGCGTTTACCATAAGAAAAGTGAAATGACAGCAGGGCTGTGTGGGAGGGAGGTAATCTGAAATATAAAGTGGAGTGGGGGAGGGTAATTGACTTAAGTATTGTCAGAGTCTACCTTTGCCTCTAATCTGCATGATGCTCTGAAACAGGGAGCTTCCACTGTTTCTCATGGAAAACGTTGCCTCTGCTTTTTCTGCTGTGTTTGCTTCTTGAGTCAGAGTAACAGACTAATACCGCATTTTTAACCAGGGCTTTAAGATTACTTGATTCCCCAGCTCCGGAGTTTGATACAGAATTGGGTTCCAGTGCCCCTTCCTTTTTTAAATACAGTTGTTTCTGGCACTTGCGGTTCAGAAGAAAGCCCTACAACAACACAGTGTAAACGGATGTAGCATTGTCTGCAGACAATGTCTGTAGACAGCCTGAAACAATGCTGAAAGGGGTGGACTCTCATGTGTTTCAGCGAGTTAACTCTGAAACCGCAAGATGACAAATGTCAACACTGCTAATTATTTCAAAATTGTCTTCTCAAGAGTCACCTACTTAATTGCCCAAGCCTCCAAATTCTTCCCTGACAATTTCTGTAATGTTGTACGTGATCAGTTAAATTTTCAATACCCTGCAGATTTTTTAGGAGTTGCGCGAAGAAAGTCAGTTCAGTGTGAAAACCCTGCACTGACTCTATTGTCATGGTGGGAGTCACCATTTGGCTCTGCTACGCAGTCTTTCAAGTTCCTTTTCTTAGTGTGTAAGCAGTGTTCAGTCTGAAGAAATGCTTGCATTTTTGTGTGTGAGATATAATTGTTTGGGAGCGCTGTGGCAAGCATCAAGGAAGTTTCCTTCTGCCTTAACCTCTCTAACTAGAGGCAGAGTTGCTTTGTGCGAACCGGACATTGGTGTTTTGGCAGAGATTCCAATTGGCCATGGGGTGTTTGTCACTACTTCTGTTCAAGGGCTATATGATGTAAAATAAACAAGTAGCACCAAGACTATACCCAGACGCCACGTCTGATTCCTCCTTCAGCAGGAAACCAACCTAAGATGTCCTGACATCAGCTACTGCTCAGCAAGGGGTGATGGTATTCCTCATTTTCAATTCAATAAAAACCTCTGCTTTTGAATTTATCCTAATCTGCTGTGGAATTTCCACGTTGCCCCAGCAACTGGGGGCCTTGCTGCAGAATTACGTTTCCCATTATTACAGGGTACATGGGCGAAGGGCGGGGAATTCATCACTCCATCGACTTCGACGCTGCTGCTCCCAAGTTTGCAAGTGAATTAGGCCCCAGGATTTACCCTTAAACCCTCTGCCTTGCATCTGCATCTCCCACTGAGGTTGTTACCTGTACATATGCAAAGCTGGAATTTGGCCTAAAGGAAGAAAGATTGGCAAGAGATTGAAGATGATGTGAAAAGTTATTGATGTTTGTTCGCTCTTCTTTGGCTCTGCAGCCCTCTTTTAAATTACCTTGTGGTGAATTTGATTTGCTTTGGAAGCTGATAATTTGGCTATAATGGTGCATG